GTATTTTTACAGTCTTTATTTTACAGTTAAAATATATGTTTATCAAATAAATTCTAACGTTACAATTAATCATGGGTCCCTTTAAAGTAAAGTCGTCGTTAGAGAGCAAGGTTTGTAGTTTTCTCTCATGCACATAAATTCTGGCTCAAATTTCATCAGGAATTTGTGCAAACTTGTCGCTCAGTGATTACGAGTGGAAATTTACAGGGTTTTTTTTTTTCAATTAGTGTCCAACAATCATGACACTTACTAGTGTTAAAACATTTAATTCTGATTTAACCGAGAAGTAACGACAATTTTTTCTTAAAACATGTAATGACGGCGACTACTTTCTAATTTTCTTTTACTTGTTCTTTCAATAAATTAGAGCTTATTAGTTTTTTTAGATTTGGGAAGCGGCGGTTTAAAATGAAAATAACATTAATCAAACATCAGCTCACTCAGTGGTTAAATCATCTTTCTAAGTTTCATAACAGTCATCTTGATTTGTTTGTTTCTGCGTTAAAACATAAAATCTGTTTCGTGTTGCAGACCGTTTTGTTCGGAGGCGGCCTCGTGTCGTCACAGAGGAGCAGGAAACCTCTGTGACGTCGGGTGTTTCACAGCTTGGTGACGAGGTGGCCCACCAGCCGCTGGAGGTCCTGGGCCCGGCTCTCGGTGGTCCTCAGCACCTCCTCGTGGTTGGCCCGCTCGTCGCTGTCGTAGTCCATCACGGCCTTGTTGGTGATGAGGGACAGGCCCAGGACGCGCAGGCCGCAGTGACGAGCCACCACCACCTCCGGAACCGTGCTCATACCTGCAGAGACGGCAGGTACAGGTGCAGAAACCTTTGAGCTTTTTCTTATCGTTGACTTGATTCTAATTCAATTCAAAAACACTTTATTGATCCCAATTAGGTAAAAGTTAAGTTACAGTTCAGAACACCCATTCAGAAGAAGAACAAACATAGGAGAACAGGTGGTCTGGGTCATGCAGCCACTGACCCTACACAGAGCAAGGATCATCTTCATGAAGACATCACGAGGAGGCGCTACCCCTAACAGAAAAACTAAAAACCACACAAGGGAAGATGAGGGGGAAAAAAAAAACATATTATATCAACACTGTGACACTATGGTGTTTATAAAAAAAACTCTGTATAGAGCACATTTATTAGCCAGAGGAGTAAGTGAGTTTAGGGGTGTGTGTATCTGAAGCCATGAGTGTTGTATGCTTGTGTGAATATCTGAAGAATGAGCCCGAGGAATCGAGGCCCCAAAACCAGCGCCGCCATAGTTCAGAATATTGATGGTAACTGTTCATTCTGCGAGGCCTTCAGCCTGCTCCAGGAACCAGATCACAGACAGGTGTGTGTGTGTGTGTGTGTGTGGGGGGGGGGGGGGGGGGCAGAGCCTCAGTCGACATCACCATCTAGGAAGAATTTAGTCCAACAGCTCAAGGCCATGTAGAGGAGAGCCAGAATCTGTAATCAGTTGTTTTGGGAACAGAAGAGTCAGTCTGATGATAAAAATGGAGGTACAATGGAGGTACTGGTACATCTCAAGGTGGCAAATCCAATCAGACAAATAGTGTGGACAATCCCGCCGAACTGTACTGACGCATAAACTGTTGAAATAGCACAAAAACTGAATGTGTTTGTAGAAACGTTCAGAAGAAAAAATGACCTCACCATATGTTTGATAAATGTTCACACTTTATAAGCTTTATAATAATGCACAAAAACAACAGCATGAATCCCAGTTTCAGACTGGAACAGAACTCTGAACAGAACTGATCTTTGTCTCAAACCAATGAAGGAGTTAAAAATCACTCGTATCGTTAGGTGTTAATGTGTAAAATCTAAAACAGAGCAAACCTGGTGAACATTAACCACGAATCGACGAGGCTTCCTGAACGTTGTTTAGTGACTATTTGTCTACATTCTGGTAAATCTGCTTTGGCTACTGGTCGTCGCTGGGACTCGCAGATCTGTGCAGATTTTAATGCAGTTTGCATATCTTCCATGCACATCAGCTCTCCTTATCCAAACCAGGAGTTCACGTTTAGTTTGACTGCACGTCTGAAGTGGTGGCAGTGCAGAGTTTTATTCCAGAGCTTGTGTTTTATGGACACAACCAGGAAGCCGTTACTCACCCACAGCGTCAGCGCCGAGCATCTGCAGGGCTCTGCACTCTGCGATGGTTTCGTATGTGGGTCCGGCCAGCATGCAGTACACGCCTTCCTGCAGGAAGCTGCCGCAGCCCTGCTCCTGCGCCGCCTGCCTGGCCAGGCCCCGCAGCTCTCGGTCATAAGCGTCCGACATGCAGGGGAAACGCACGCCGAACCTGCAGAACATGATGAAGACTTGAAATGTTAGCGCTCACACAGTCAGCTAGCTTCCTGTTATTTTAGTCACTCGTGTGTAGGAAACATTCAGCTCATTCAGGAGGTTCCTGTAACGTTTTTAGTTTTCAATTTTTAATTTTCATCGTGGAAAACATTTAGCTTTTATCTTTTAGTTAGACTTTTGTTACTTTAAGCTTTTACTAGCTTTGTGCTACTATTAAGCTTGTAGCTAAATTTTGCTGCTTTTAGCTATTACTTAGCCTTTGGACAATTTTAGTTTAGCTTTTAGCCAACATTTTGCTACTTTTACCGTATAGCTATATTTTGTACTTTTAGCTGTTAGTAAGTATTTTGCCACTTTTAGTTAGGTTTTGCTATGCTTAACTACAAGCTAGCTTTTTGCTGCTTTTAGCTTCTAGATATTTTTTATATAGCCTTTTATTGTTTTAAGCTTTTAGATAGGCTTTTGATTCTTTTAGCTTTTAGCAAACCTTTGGTTGTTTTTAGCTTTTAGCTACATTTTTTATACTTTTAGTTTTTAGTCAGTCTCTTGTTACTTTAGGTTTCTGGCTAGTTTGTTTGTTTATTTAGCTTCTAGCTACAATTTTGTATTTTTAGTTCGTAGCTAGCCTTTGGGTTTTTTTAGATTTTAACTAGTGTTTATTGGTACATTTGACTTTTAGCTAGTGCTTTTCTACTTTTGGTTAGTTTTTGCTACTTTTAGCTTTAGCAAACCTTTTGCTGATTTTAGCTTCTAGCTAAATATTATTTACTTTTAGCTTTTAGTTAGCTTTTTGTTTACCTTTACTTAGTTTTTGCGAATTTTAGCTTTTAACAAACAATTTGCTGCTTTTAGCTGCATTTTTTATTTTTAGCCTTTTGCAATTTTGAGCTTCTAGAAAATGCTTGTGCAACTTATCACTTTGCTTTCTAGCTAGTTTAGCTAGTGTTTGCTATTTTTGCCTTTTAGATAGCCTTTTGGTCATTTTAGCTATTAGCAAACATTTGGTTGTTTTTAGCTTCTAGCTACATTTTTTTCTACTTTTAGCTTTTAGTCAGTCTCTTGCTACTTTTGGTTTCTGGCTAGTTTATTTGTTTATTTAGCTTCTAGTTACAATGTTTCTAGTTTTTAGTTTGTAGCTAGCCTTTGTTTTCTTAGCTTTTAGTTAGTGTTTTGCTATATTTGACTTTTAACGAGCATTTTACTACATTTGGTTAACTTTTAGCCTTTTACAATTTTGAGCTCCTAGAAAATGCTTGTTCAACTTATTACTTTGCTTTCTAGCTAGTTTAGCTAGTGTTTGCTATTTTTTGTCTTTTAGCTGGCATTTTGCTTCTTTTAACTCAGCTAGTGTTCTGCTTCTTTCAACTTTAATGCAGGTTTTTCATTCTTCTCTCAGCTTTAACACTACTGCTCAGCTGATAAGCTCGGCGGTGTTTTACCTGTCGTCGTTGTGTCCACACAGAGGGTTCTGACCAGCAAAGCCCGGCATGTTGATGTGGTCCTTAATGAGCATGATGTCGCCCACGCTGAAGCCAGCATTAAGACCCCCTGCAGCATTTGTCACAATCAGAGTCTCCACGCCCAGCAGGAAGAAGACCCTCACTGGATACGTCACCTGAATATTAACACAACAGGTTTTATCCTTTGTCATCACAACAGATCACACAACAGCTTAATGTTTCGTACTGATGCAGGTTTTTGCACATTAGCGGTTGTAGCACTGTGCTAACCTTTTACAGAGCAGTCTGGAAATGACAGCTGCTCCCTCTCGCCGCCGTCACTTTTGGAAATGGCCTTTTCTACTTCCCATTTCCCTACAGATTGAATTTACAATAAATAAATGTGCAGCTAGTTAGAGCTGAAATGTTTTCAGGACCTCTGAGATGTTGATAAGGTCAGCGCTGTCACTGCAGAACGTTGGCCCTTGTGATTTAAGTTCTGCATAGAAGTGTGGTCCGTGCATTGATCTGACTCACTGACTTTTATCAGGAACACGAGATGTTATGTGTACCAACAGGACTGATTGGTTTTGTTAAATAAAGTGGTTAGTATGGAGGGAAAATATGGCGTGGTATGAGGGCCAAAATTAAGAATATTGCTCAACCAGCTGTTGCTACATCCTTGTAGCAGGAGGCTATATTTATTCCTAACCAGCTAATGATAGGCCGGTACTGCTAACTGAGCAGCTGGCCCCGGTGAATAAGGAGGAGACTATTCATTGGCATTAGCATTGGAGAGGCTAGCGACTAGCATGGATAAGCTGGCATTAGCATTGGAGAGGCCTAGTGATTAGCATGGATAAGATGACGTGACTATTAAAGAGGCCAACAACTAGCATGGATAACTCGCTAGCCTTTCCAATGCCAATGCCAGCCTATCTATGCCAATGGACAGCAGAGGGTGTTGGCAATCTATTGGGTCACTAGCCTCTCTGATGCTAACGCCATCTTAACCACGCAAGTTGCTGGTCTTTTCAATGCTAACACCAGTTATCCATGCTACTTTCTAGTCTCTCCTATGCTTATACCAGCTTATCAATGCTAGTTACTAGTCTCTCCCATGCTAATGCCAGCTTATCCATGCTAATTGCTAACCTCTCTGATGCTCATGCCAGCTTATCCATGCTGGTCGCTAGCCTCTCCAATGCTAACATTAGCTTATCCATGCTAGTCACTAGTCTCTCCAATGCTAATGCCAGCTTATCCATGCTAATTGCTAGCCTCTCTGATGCTCATGCCAGCTTATCCATGCTAGTCGCTAGCCTCTCCAATGCAAAAGCCAGCTTATCCATGCTAGTCGCTAGCCTCTCCAATGCTAACGCCAGCATATTCATGCTAGTCACTAGTCTCTCCAATGCTAACATTAGCTTATCTATACTAGTCACTAGTCTTTCCAATGCTAAAGTCAGCTTATCCATACTAGTCGCTAGTCTCTCCAATGCTAATGCCAGCTTATCCATGCTAATTGCTAGCCTCTCTGACGCTAACACAAATGAATAGTCTCCTTCTCATTAGCCAGCTCCGGCCTCTCACTTATCGGGGCCAGCTGCTCAGTTAGTGTTGCCGGCCTATCATTGATCAGATCAATATCTGGTTTAGGAATAGCTATAGCCTCCTGCTACAAGGATGGAGCAACCGCTGGTTACGCAATAGTCTTAATTTAGGCCCTCATACCATGCCATAGAAAAACTGTTGCCAAAAGGCTTTCTAATGCAGTTTCCTGAGAAGCAAATTGCCCTCTTTAATTTTCCCTCAGTCATGTTGGCGTTAAATCTTTTTGACTGTATCTCATCACATTATGTAACAATCCTATACGAGAGACATCTGTCCTGAAATTACTGTAAGCATAAACCTGGATTTTACGATCCTGCGGGGGTATACGGACCAGTTTATGTGAAGATGGCACATCGCAGCAGGTAATAAAAGTAAAACGAGTCATCACAGGACAAAGGTCACTATAATTTATTCACTGTGACACTCTGGTTGCAGCTGATTATTTAACTCAGGGAGTAAACTGTCAGCCGAAAATATGTGGCTGCACCACAGCCCATGCTGTTAAAGCAACTTTTACCTTTGCATCGTCTGCGCTCTTAGTGTGGCAGCACTAAGTTAGCATTTAGACAAGGACGGGGTTTAAAGATTACGCTCCACCTGCTGAGACGGTGATTGTTTTCCGCAATGTGATTGACAAAGTCAGAGATTAAATTTCTGATTATAGTTCAGTTACCCCGGATTGTATATCATTTGCATCAGCAAGGTCTTAAAAGACAGAAGAGAGGCTTCAGAGAATAACAAGCAGCCAAAAGAAGAGGAGGTCAAGTGAGGCCCTTATACCAAACTTAACATTTACAAAAAATACATTTATAACATTTATTTAAACTCTTTAAAATGACAACAGGTTTTCCTTTTAAGTTACTGAAGTTGTTTTGAACATTCCTGTGTGTTTTTACGTGCTTCTTTTGTTTCTGTTAATGGAGCTCTTGTTAAAGAAGAGTTTCTGTCACCAGTCAGGACAGATAATGAAATCTATATATATTTTTTCTAAATCCCTTACACACCTCCTTCACCCTGTGGGACTCAGATGAGTCCTTCTGTAAAGGGTTCAATTCATTCAGACTCATTATTTTAACACGGTTCAGAAACATTTAAGTCATGTTTCTATCAAGTTATCTCTTAATAAGCTTATTTTTTCTTGTTTCATACAGGCAGAAAATATAAAACGCCATGAAGGTTGTGTATAACAGGTATTCCAACAGAAAAGACCTTTATTCTGAGAGGGGTGTTCATAAAAAAAGTTTACAAAATATTTTAGCCAAAAGTAAACAAATCACATTTTCAGAGTGTTCTTTATGATGCATGTTTTACAGAGTTTGTTTTCTATTAACTGTATTAAATGAGACTTTTATTTTGAAACATCCAGTTACTGAAGCAGTATGTGGGACCACTGGTTGGGGAAATTGACGGTGATATTTTGTGGCTGCATTGAGTGAAATGTTATATAGAACTCCATGCGTTGCTGTTGTATGTTTATGCTGAAGCTGAATTAAAGTAGCAACTCCCATTTAACAGATCTGAATTTATCATTAAACGGTCAGGCTCAAAAGTAATGAATAACTTTTGTGTGGGAACGCAAAATAAATTCCCCCATATGCTCTATGGCCAACAGCTCAGTTGGATCAGGAGGAAGCACAAACAGTTTTTTACCGTGTGGATGCTGTAGCCCTCGTAGAAGTGGAATCGTCCCTGCATGCAGACGCACTCGCAGCCCTTCAGCTTCCCAAACACCAGCTGGCCCGCGTGACCCTGAACTGGACACACGCACAGTATGAGCCACAAGCCTGCTTACGACCCATGTTCAGAAAGCTTTTACAGAGTTTCTGAAGAGAAAGAACCTACCTGTGCTGGTGGGAAAACGTGGGATGTCTTTATATTTGAACACGATTCTGTCCTCCAGCAGGTCAGCCAGACCACCCAGACCAGAGCCACAGATGATGGCCACTTTAGGACGCTTCTTAGTGTGAGCCAGTAACCAGTCTGCGGTCTCCTTGTAGTTTTCATAACTGTAACTAAAAAAAACACAAGTCTGTAAACAGAAACATCAAGAAGACATCGATGTGAATGCAAAGCTTTTATAAATAAACAAGTACTACGTTAAATTATGCAACACAGTTTGGTATGAACCTTTTATTGTTATTTAGCTCACTATTATTACAATTTGCTAATTTGCTATTTTCACCAAATGTTAAATTATTAAAATTGTTAGATTATTGCATGTCTTTACTAAATGATTAAGCTTACATTTATTTGTTTTTGAATGGAACGCAGCTTTTGTTGTGACACCATTATCGTGCGACAAAAGCATCCGCTGACACTGCTAACATTGCTAACACCGCTAACACTGCTAACACCGCTAACACTGCTAACATTTCCCTACAAGACATCAAACTTACGACTGCACCTGGTGTTCGGGCTGCACTTCAAACTGCTGGACCACAAAAACCATCCATACTGTTTTCAATGAACACATTTTTGAATTTAAACTTTAAACGGCATCTTTAGCAGCATTAGCAGTGTTAGCGATGTTAGCAACATTAGCAATGTTAGCGCTTGTTTTTGTCTCAGGATGATGACATCAATACAAAAGCCACGCACCAACAGCAACAAGTAGGGGTCTCTGCAGTACATGTTGTCTTGTGGGCGGAGATGGCCCTACACGTGATTGGCATAGGTCTTGATGTGGGCCGAGACGGCCCTACTCGTGATTGGTGAAGTTGGTGTGTGGGCGGAGTTTTCCCTAACCGTGATTGGTCGGATTGACATGTCTTGTGGGGCAATTTAAAAGAGGAAGTAATAATAGTAAAAAAATATGATTTATTGACTGTCTAGGTACAGCTTAAAACAGAACAATGACTCAAATAAAAATTGTGAAAATGGAAACATAATTTGACTTAAAATTTCATGCGGCAAGCTTCTTCCTGTCTCAAATTATGACTAATATTTATATTGATTTTTTGCAATATTTTTGCAGGCTGGTTAGGGATTTTTTGACCATTCCAAATTGTAACTCGTCCCTCCATATGTATGACAGTCAAATTTCATGCAGCTAGCACTTTCCTTTCTCAAGTTATGACTAAAATTAATCTTAAAAACACACTGCTTCCTGCCCGACTCAACCACACTAGTCCACAAGTAGGGCTGTCTACACCCACATCAAGACCTCCGCCAATCACGAGCAGGACCATCTCCACCCACATCTAGACTTCCCCCAATCACGAGTAGGGCCGTCTCTGCCCACATCAAGACCTCCGCCTATCACGAGTAGGGCCGTCTCCGCCCATCAAGACCTCTGCCAATCAAGAGTAGGGTGTCTCTCTGCCCACATCAAGACCTCTGCCAATCACAAGTAGGGCCGTCTCCGCCCACATCAAGACCTCTGCCAGTCACGAGTAGGGCCGTCTCCGC